AGGTGTCTACCAGAAGGGAGAGCCAGTATTCAAATCTAGGCGGTCTGACTCAAGGGCTTTCACTCTTTCTCTGTTCACCATATTCTCTCTACAAGGTGCGGGGCATTTCTAACATTTGAGCATACAAGAATATTAAAGTACAGCAGTTATCTTATTCAACTCAGATAACATGGTACTCTAGAGTTGAATGCTAATGTTCCTAAAACCAAAAGCTTATGGATCATTTGATTTCTTCTTTGCCATCATAAGATCATTTATCCTACTCTGAAAGTTTAAAATTGTGCTCCTGGGGTCATTTCCATAATTTGCAGTGAAAATATCTAGGTTTTAATGTAATCAATCACTTAGCTCTAATGCCAAATGTTAAATAATATCAACAAAAATAAAGTGGCTAAGAAGTGATAAACTTTTGTGTTTCAACACTTTTCAAAACTGAAAATAAGCACAACTCAGTATCATCTCCATGTACACGACAAACAATATGACTCTGCCACATTCCATGATAGGTAGAAACTTGATTTCTGAGCATAATTTATCTGGCTCAATAGCAATACAAGTAAGTATTCATTAAACACGTTTACAAAGATGAAATAATATTTTCAATTTGAATTTTAATTCCTCTCCAGTCATTGACAGTCCACAGGAAGATGGTCTAAGTCAACCTTCCTAAACCCTGATTCTTTATTATACTGCTTCCTTTATCAGACCTATGCTTGGCTCAGTGTGAACTACATTCACCACTTTCCTGAAGATGTAATTTCCTGCTTTTATGTGTTTCTGGTCATCCTGTTCCTTTCGCCCTCTTTCTATCTCTATCCATCTTTGCCAGTTGAACATACTTTGTCCTATATCAACTGAAATTTCACTTACCTTTCAAAGTCTACTTTAAATCCTGCCTCTTTCATGAAGTCTTTCCTTCACCCTATCTATTAAATCCCAGACACCAAGCATTCACTGTCTCCAATGTGCCAAATATTATTTGTATACTCCTTAGATCAACCCCACAAGACTGGATTTATTCCCAAATTAATAAATTCTGGTTTGCCAAAAATGAAGTGTGACATTTCAGTAGTAAAATTGTACTGAGAAGTTTCTCAGAATATGGGACTTTCAGTGCTAAAGCTGAAAATGAGTGGTTTCTCAGGATGCAAGACTTTCAGTGTTAAATCAAAGACCATCATTCACCCTACCGACAGCTGGTAGGCTGATGGCTGGGAGGCAAATGTAGGTCTATTGAACTTCAAAGTCCACGTTCTGTTACTATATGTTGTCTCCTCTGAGAATTGTTATTAATTCCTGTAGTATCTTTTGAAAATTCCTCCATGACATTTGTTGTACCTAGCATGTGTCATAATTATTTGTATACTTGTTATATTTCCCCTGAACAGCTCCTAAAGAATGGTGTTGCATCTAGCTCATCTTTGGATCTCAGATAGCACCTAGCATAGAATTGTGTACTTGGCCCCAGTACTATGATCTCATCACCTCAATTTTTTACCTTCTCAGAGGCCTATCCTGACTATCCTATTTAAATCTGCTACCCACCTTCCTACCCACACTCCCAACCCCCTGAGACTTCTCTAATTTTCCCTTTTGACATAGTACTATTAACTTCTAACATTCTATCATGCACTTATTCATTATTAGTGTTTATGGTCTGACTCATCCTTTATGACATAAATTCCACAGAGCCACACAGACTCGGCAACATGTCATTAAAATTAAAACACGTAATAACAGCTGGTATTCCTGACAATGATCGAGTACTATATAAGGAATCATTTAATTATGTTTAGTGATATTAACTTGGTACAGGGATATGGTTTCAGGACCAGTTACCATGGTTCCCAAACTACACATAGATGCTCTAAGGTGCAACACCAAACTCACAGGATAGCCTGGGATGTTGCAGGGTATTGTAAACTTTCAGGGGATACACAGCAGCACCTGTTAGACAACATGAAAACCTCTAACTTGAGACAATTCATAGTTCCAGCATTAGATCACTCCACATTCCTTCCCAAGACATCTTTTTAAAGTTGGGTTTTCAGAGGTTGTTGTAATTAAAAGTAAGAGCCATAAAAAATCCACAAGAACAGGAAATGACAATGCAGTATCCTATGTGATTTCAAGATTTGGTAAGCTGTTCAACTCAACAGTGCATGTGAACTTTTAGCAATTATGGTTATTTAATAATAAAAATATTATTTTTTCCCTTTCAATCTCTGTGTATTATTTTTCAGACAGTTACTAAATTATTAGGGCATAAACACTCATTAAGCTGTTTAGACTTAACTACTTAATAAATGGAATGATAAGATACTTATTTTCACCTGCAGGAGATGTGAAAATTTGCATAGACAAAAAGGGTACTGTGAGACAAGCAAGATTGAGAACTCTGCCCTAAGCAACCTACTCTGAAATTACCACTCTGGCTCCATTTTATACTTCTCTCTCCCTTATTATTCTACTCCAGTCTCATTGGCCTCCTCCTTGTTCCTTGAACTCACCAAGCATGCTTCTGCCTCAGGCCTTTACACAGCTGTTTACTTTGCCTAGACACTCTTTGCTTACTGTCTGCTTGGCTAATCCTCTAGCTCAGTGGTTCTCAACCTTCCTAATGCCTCGACCCTTTAATATAGTTCCTCATGTTATGGTGACCCCCAACCATAAAATTATTTTCGTTGCTACTTCATAACTGTAATTTTGCTACTATTATGAATCGTAATGTAAATATCTGATATGCAGGATGTATTTTCATTGTTACAAATTGAACATAATTAAAGCATAGTGATTAATCACAAAAACAATATGTAATTATATATGTGTTTTCCAATGGTCTTAGGCGACCCCTGTGAAAGGGTCGTTTGACCCCCAAAGGGGTCTTGACTCACAGGTTGAGAACCGCTGCACGTCTAGCTTCTTTCAAATTGTTTCTCAAATATCACTTTTTCACCCTTAATCCCTACACCTTTTTCATCCAACCCCCAACACACACCCCCTGACAGCTGTTAATCTGTTCTCTCTCTATGAGTCTGTTTCTATTTTGTTAGTTTATTTTGATCATTAGATTCCACATATAAGTGAAATCATGTCATCTGCGAATAATGAGAGTTTTACTTCCTCCTTTCCAATTTCAATGCCTTTTATTTCTTCTTCTTGTCTAATCACTGTGGCTAGAACTTCCAATACAATGTCAAATAAGAGTGGTGAAAGCAGACATCCCTGTCTTGTTCCTATTCTTAAAATAAATGGTTTTAGTTTTTGCCCATTGAGCATGATATTGGCTGTAGGTTTGTCATATATGGCCTTTATTATGTTGACATATGATCCCTCTATTCCCACTTTGCTGGGAATTTTTATCATAAATGGGTGCTGGATTTTATCAAATGCTTTTTCTGCATCTATTCAAATGATCACGTGGTTTTTATTATTCTTCATTTTGTTTATGTGTTGTATCACATTTCTTAATTTGCAGATATTGTACTAACCTTGCATTCCCAAAATAAATACCATTTGATCATGATGTATGATCTTTTTAATGTATTGATGGATCCCCTTTGATAATATTTTGTTGAGGATTTTAGCATCTATATCATGAAGGATACTGGCTTATAATTGTTTTTCTTGGCAGTATCTTTATATCATTTTGGAATTAAGATAATGCTGGACTCATAAAATTGGTGGGTTTTTCCTCCTCTTAAATTTTTTGGAATAGTTTGAGAAGGATAGGAGTCCCCTCTTCTTTGAATGTTTGGTAAGATTCACCTGTGAAGTCATCTGGTCCAGGACTTTTGCTTGCTGGAGGTTTTTGATTACTGCTTCAATTTTATTATTTGTAATCTGTCTATTCAGATTTCCTGATTCTTCCTGATTCAGTTTTGGAAGATTGGATGCTTCTAGGAATTTATCAATTTCATCTAGTTTGTCCAATTTGTTGGCATATAGTTATTCATATTATTTTCTTACAATCCTTTGTATTTCTTTGATGGCAGTTATTACTTTTCCTCTTTCATTTCTGATTTTATTTGGGTCCTCTCTCTTTTTTTCTTCATGAGTCTGGTTAAAGGTTTGTCAATCTTGTTTATCTTTATCTTTTGTATTATTTTTTTAGTCACATGTCACTTTTTTTATGAAGCCTATTCTGGCCATTCTACTTAAAATTGGAGCCTGCTCTCTCCATCTCCCACTCTACTTCTTTCCATTAAACTTGTCATCTTTTAAAATCCTGTATGTTACATGTTATGTTAATTTTTAAAAATTGTCTAGACCCATCTATTAGAATGTAAGCTCTACATGATCAGAACTTTTTGTCTGTAATGTTCACTGAGATATCCCAAATGCTTAGAACAATAGCACATGCCTAGATCAGTGATGGAGAACCTTTTAAGCTCGGCATGTCAGCATTTTGAAAAACCCTAACTTAACTCTGGTGCCGTGTCACATATAGAAATTTTTTGATATTTGCAACCATAGTAAAACAAAGACTTTTATTTTTGATATTTATTTTACATATTTAAATGCCATTTAACAAAGAAAAATCAACCAAAAAAAATGAGTTCGCGTGTCACCTCTGACATGCGTGTCATAGGTTCGCCATCACTGGCCTAGATCATAGCATGGATTCAGTAAGTATCTGTTGAGTAAATAAATTATTAAATTAAATTAAAGAAAATTGGATCAATTTTCAAGAGATAAAAGAAGGTAAGGAAAGGCATGATGAGGCGAAAACCTGAAAGCTATTCACCAAACCTATAACCTATTTTTCCTGGGCATTTAGCTAGACCACATTTCCCAGCCTGCCCTGCAGCTAGGTGTGGCCATGGGACTAAGATCTGAACAAGGAAATGTGAACATAAGTGATGAACACTTCTTATAAGCCTGCTCACTTCAAACCCAGTGTAAATTCTCCATTTTCTTTCATCTTTGGGAGGCTGAATCTATGAGTCTCAGATCCTAGAGGATGGCATTGAGTCACAAGTTACAAGGAGCCTCCGTACCTGAAAGACCATGATGAATGTTGTCCACCTCAGAACCACCTTTATTGGACTTCCTGTGAGTGAGAAATTGACATCTGTGGAAAGTCACTGACATCTGGGGTTTGTTTACAGCAACTGATAGCATTTTCCTGATGGTTTGAAGGTCTCATACACTGGAAACGTCTACTTCAGTGGAATCTAATATGTAAAGGAATATAACAGGGAAGAATTAGAAAAAGACAAGACACAGTATGTCAAAAATAGGAATGAGCCACATTCAAGTCAGTTTATTTGAAATAGCCAAGGAAAAATTCTTTAAAGTAAAATGAATCCATTGAAATTGCTTTAACTTGATTCAAGGTTGCTAATGAAATACAATAAGAAGATTCAATAGGGGTTGAAATATTTGGCAAAACTTATTTTTAAAGTGACAATTTTTTGAAACAAAAGGAGAAAGAGTGAAAATGGAGAACCCAATTGAATAAACCCCAAAATAGATTGTACCAATAAGTAACTATTTGTATTTCATTTAACTCTGAGGCTTGAGGACTTTAAAATGTATTTCATGTTTAATACATTCACTGAACTTTTCTATATTGCATGAGATTCTCAAAGCCTGTTTCTATTAAGTTTTCATAAATATAAATATGTATAAACATATTTATTGTTGGAAAACAAGGAATAAACTCATATTTACAGCAAATTGTATGATAAAATAAAGAAAATACAATTTCAGATTCATCAAATAAAATTGATTGCAAAATCTTCTGTCTCTATTACCAAATCCATTATTTACAAAGATGTTTTCCATTTGTCTATTGTTTTATTTCTTTATAAAACTATATTTTATTTAAAATCACAACATCTGAATTGAGATGAAGTCATTATCTTCTCACCATGTCAATTATTATGAAAACTCAATTTGACCAATGCAACAAATATTTAAAAATAGGAAACAGAATATATTCCTCATTATAAATAGCTCCCCACATATACCAATTCTCACAAGAGAAATAAAAGTCACAGAAGAAGAAATAGCTCCAAGCTATAGAGAAATCCATACAAGCCTTCCTCTTTCTCCTGATCTTTCATTTTCCCTTTCCCATTTACTCCTTCTCAATCTGGCGGCTGCATTTTTGTTGTTTCACACTAAGGCAGGTTTTCTACTCTACCCTCACAGGCAGTTGCTACCTGCAATTGACAGCTTCACTCTGAGAATTAAATCAGTTAGCATTCTACCCAATACTTCTCATTGTCCTCTCCAAAGTCTTGAGCTTTGTTGGTGAAGATGAAAACCAGCTTAATAAAGAAATGGAAAGAATGAAAGAGTGAGGGGAAAAGTTAATTAGCAGGTAAGCAGACAGTGTAATTATTTAAAAAGTATGACATTAGTTAACTGAGCAAAAAGATTTTTGAGATTAAAGTCTTTAAATAATTCTGAAATGGCTCTGAATACAACTAAACTTTTCTTCTGAATATCTTTCTTCTATGAGAGTTTAAAATTGTTCACAAAGATTGTAGGTAAAAATTCAAATTTAAAATGGAAATACCTATGTTCCTACCAAGGGCAATGAAATAGTTGGGAAATAGTTGTAAAGACAGAATATACTATTTTTAAAACATTGCAAATTATCCAAAACTCTGGCATCCTATCTAATAAAAGAGAAACATGGTAATTAGCGTACGACCGCTACCCTTCCCATTGGCTAATCAGGGCGATATGCAAATTAACTGCCAGCCAAGATGGCGGCCGGCAGCCAGGCAGCTGGAAGCGAACATGAGGCTTGCTTGCTTCAGTGAAGGAGGACTCCAACATTCCCCACCTACCTTGCCGGCCTCTGAGCTTGCAGTTTGAAACATTGTAACAAATATAGAAGCTAAACAAAACCCCAGAAACCAGCTTTCAGCCGGCCGGGATCTCAGAGTTGGAGATGATACAGTGTTTCGATTATAGAACCCAAACAAACCAGATACCTGCTTTCAGCAGCAGAGGCCTTGGCCCAGAATAAAAAAAAAAAGAAAAAAAGGAGCGGTTGGGAGCTTCAGTCACCCACCAGCCTGAAAACAGCCCTCAGCCCCTCACTCAGACTGGCCAGGCACCCCAGTGGGGACCCCCACCCTGAAGGGTGTGTGACCAGCTGCAAACAGCCATCATCCCCTCATCCAGGCTGGCCAGGCACCACAGTGGGGACCCCCACCCTGATCCAGGACACCCTTCAGGGCAAACCAGCCAGCCCCCACCCGTGCACCAGGCCTCTATCCTATATAGTAAAAGGGTAATATGCCTCCCAGCACCGGGATCAGCGTGACAGGGGGCAGCGCCCAAACCCCCTGATTGGCCCTGCTCTGTGCGTGACAGGGGGTGACACCGCAACCTCCCTATCGACCCTGCCCTGAGTGTGACAGGGGGCGGTGCCCCAACCCCCAATCGGCCCTACCCTGAGCGTGACTGAGGGTGGCATCGCAACCTCCCAATCCGCCCTGCTCTGTGCATGACAGGGGGCGGCGCCCCAACTCCCCAATCGGCCCTGCTCTGAGCCTGACCAGGGGCTGCACCTAGGGATTGGGCCTGCCCTCTGCCACCCGGGAGCAGGCCTAAGCCAGCAGGTCGTTATCTCCCGAGGGGTCCCAGACTGTGAGAGGGCACAGGCCGGGCTGAGGGACCCCCCCTCCCCCCCCCCAGTGCACAAATTTTTGTGCACCGGGCCTCTAGTATTATATAAGTAAAAATAATAGTAAGATTTAGTGTTAATATTTGCATACTTGTCTTACAATTGTGTGAAACACCTCCACCCACACTGCAATCACCACACTGTTGTCCATGTCCATGAGTTCTCTTTTTTTTTCTTTTTTGCTTAATACCCCCACCCCCACCTCAGCGGTCTGCCTGCTCTCTATGTATGAGTCTGCCTGTCAAATCATCTTGATCTGATCTGATTGCCTAGGAATGTTGCTCTTCCTCTTTGCCATTATAAGGATGTCCTTCTGAAGTGGGAAAGCATCTTTCTTGGACTTAGGGTAAATGAATAGTTGTATCGCTCTCTTAAAGCTTAATTAAATTTCAGAAATCAACATAGTTCATTCAGAGAATTAGAAACACTGATATGTAATGTCACAATACTAATATATTTTTAAATAGTCCTATTTTCTCTATACTAAAAAATATTCCTTTTTAATCATACCAGTATCCTCTTAGAGCAGCGGTTCTCAACCTGTGGGTCACGACCCCTTTGGCGGTCAAACGACCCTTTCACAGGGGTCACCTAAGACCATCCTGCATATCAGATATTTACATTACGATTCATAACAGTAGCAATATTATAGTTATGAAGTAGCAATGAAAATAATTTTATGGTTGGGTCACAACATGAGGAACTGTATTTAAAGGGCCAGAAGGTTGAGAACCACTGTCTTAGAGGATATAAGCTTCATACATAATTCCTAATACCTATAGTTGAAAATATCTATCTATAAATGGGAAGCTTCCCCTATAAAGTTTAGCAACACATATAATTTAGACTAAATAAGACTAGTACAAAATAATTCTTTTTACTTTTTTTCTGGCAGTAATTCAGTTTTATTTCAAAATTTGATGGTAGAGGAAAACAGATGTCTAGCGAGAGAGATTGCATTGTTCAGGAAAAGAAAAGAATTTAATATATGATGTTTACAAAGGTACTATTAGTTGAGTTCAGCAGGAAAGAAGAAAGCTCTCTTTTGTTTCCCTTCCTAAATTTACCACTTGTGTCCAATTACCCCTGGTTAGAGAGTTCTCTACTAGAAAATATTATCCCTAGAGAAGCTGGCTGAGAGTCATGGCATCCAAAGCTAGAAAGACCACATAGATTTTCTAGTCCAATTGTTTAATGACTTAAAATACCAGGTAGAAAACAGAGATGACTGGAACAGAGTATGTGCACCAGAGTAAATAGTGATCAAAGCCATCTGTTCACCTATGATTTCAATTCCACCCCCTTCCGATAACCTCCAGGATCTTACTCCCTTCCCCCTATATTTTCAATCTCTCCCATTTCCACAGGATCCTTTTTCTCACTCTCTATATATTTCCAAGTTGCTCTCTTCTTACAAGAAAAATAAAATAAAATCTTTCCTTAATCTTGTAATTTTTACCACTTTCTCCCCTTTTAATCAAAATTCATTTTTATTGAATTTATTGGGGGTGACATTGGTTAATAAAATCACATAGGTCTCAGATGTACAATTCTACAATACATCATCTGTATATTGTATTGTGTTCACCACTCAAAGCCAAGCCTCCTTCCATCATCACTTATCCCCTTTTACCCTCTACATCCCCCAAACCCACTTTCCCTCTGATAATCATCATACTGTTGTCTGTTTCTATGAGCTTATTTTTTCCCCTTAATCCCTTTACTTTTAACAGCCAGCATCCAAAACCTCCTCCCTTCTGAAACATGTCAGTCTGTTCCCTGTATCTATGAGTCTGATGCTGTTTTATTGGTTTGCTTATTTTGTTCATTACATTCCACTTATAAGTGAAATCATATGGTATCTGTCTAGATCATTTCACTTTGCATAATACTTTCCAGGTCCATCCATGCTGTCACAAAAGGTAAGACTTCCTTCTTTTTTAGGGCCAAGTAGTATTCCATTGTGTAATGTACCACAGCTTTTTTATCCACTCATCCACTGATGGACAGTAGGGCTGCTTCCAAATCTTGGCTATTGTAAATAACGCTGCTATGAACATGGGTGTGCATATATTCTTCCAAATTAGTGTTTCAAGTTTCTTATATATATTCCCAGAAGTGGAATCCCTGGGTCATAAGGCAGTTTGATTTTTAATTTTTTGAGGACACTCCATACTATTTTTCACAGTGGTTGCATCAATCAGCGTTCCTACCAACAGTGCACCAAGGGGTTCCTTTTCTCCACATTCTCACCAACACTTGTTGATTTATTGATGATAGCATCTAGTTTCATTGCATTATGGTCAGGTGTAAGGTGATATCTCATTATGGATATAATGTGCATTCTGATGATTGACATTTCTCTGATTGACATTGGCCATCTTTTTACATGTTTATTGGCCATTTGTTTGTCCTCTTTGGAGAAGTGTCTATTCAGATCCTTTGCTCTTTTTGGACTGTTTCTTTTTTTGGTGGTGAATTGTGTGAGTTCTTTATAAATTTTGAATATTAATCCTTTATCAGATG